TGGGTGGATCACGAGGTCAGGAGTTCAAGACCAGCCTGGCCAACGTGGTGAAACCCTGTCTCTACTGAAATACAAAAATTAACTGAGCGTGGTGGGGCGCATCTGTAATCCCAGCTACTCAGGAGGCTGAGGCAGGAGGATTGCTCGAACCCAGTAGGCAGAGGTTGCAGTGAGCCGAGATCGTGCCATTGCACTCCAGCCCGGGCAATAAAGTAAGACTCCGTCTCAGAAAAAAAAAAAAAAGAGATTATGACGCTTCTTGCTCAGGGTTTTTTAATGGCTCTTCATCTCACTTATAGTAGAAACCAAAGGCTTTATAATGGCCTTCAGGGTCCTACAAGATTCTGCTCAGTAATATCCAGTAAGCTAAGTTACTTCTATGACCTTATCTGCTCTCTCCGCTTTCTTTACTTTGCTCTACCTTGAATATATTAAGCATGCTTCTACCTTAATGTTCTTTGCATTGGCTGCTTTCTCTGCCTAGAATACTCTTTTTTCCAGATATTCCCCCATTGCCAACTCCCTGTTGACTTCCTGCGGCCCATCTGTGTGAGAAGAGTGCTTATGAGGGGATTAGTTGTGCTGTAAGGAGTGAAGAGGGCAGGAATATGGCAAATGTTTAGAAGTTCTCTAAAGAGCCAGTGAATGAGAGAATTCTAGACTTACTAGCGACTGTTGAGTCCAGCCTATTTGCTATTCTGAATAATAATGAAGGAAGTCAAGAAACTTTGTAGCAAGTTAATAGAGATGAGGCAGCCTTCAGTCAGTCAGTGAAAATGTATGTAAATCAAGGTTCATAGTCTGAAGATTCCTTTCTTATTAATAAGGCATTCTCTTTTGTAGATATTGGATTTGGTGTCCCGCCGCTTAGTTATAATTTAATGATATGCTCTTCAGATTAATAGAGAATAGGTCAAAGAACTACTTGAGCATCACTTTTGGAATCTATTATAAAAGTTTAATAGAAAACATTTAATTATTAAATTCCTTTTAAAATTGAATATTAGAGGAAAGAGTTTATTATGTGTTCCATCAAAAGGGAGAGCAAAAATATGTTCCCTGGTACTTAACAATGTCTGTTAGGCGATTTCAGAGCCTACCCAGTGTTTAATTTATCTCTAGTATCTCTCTACTGTGGTCCTCTGCATCTTTTTTTATTTTAATTACAGGACTTACACTATGTTTAATTTTATAATTAAAATTAACAAAAGTGCTTGTAGAAGTAGACTTAGTTGAAATTAGAAAGTATCCTCTTATGAAGAGAGTATTCTGTTTCTCCATGTCAATCAAGAAAAGTGAGTTCTTTCCATGGTTCTTTCATGTTTGTTCATTTGCACACCTTTTCCTTGTAGGGAAGAATAAAAGAAGAAAATGAGGGTTACAGGAAAATAATAAAAAGTAGAAAAAGTAATGTGAGGCCAGGCATAGAGTTAGTATACAAAGTATATGCCACAGGATCGTAATTATGACTCTGAATTTCCCAGTAGCCAACACTAAGAGGAGAGTGAAGTTACTTACATGATTCATTTAAGTCCATAAGGTAAAAAGAAACTAGTTGTTCAAGAAAGAAGCATAGCTAATACCAGTACTAAGTTTTTAGTGGCTATCTCCTATGGGTCCTTATAATAAGAATACAGTGTCTGGGTGCGGTGGCTCACACCTGTAATCCTAGCACTTTGGGAAGCCAACATGGGTGGATCACCTGAGGTTGAGAGTTTGAGACCAGCCTGATCAACATGGAGAAACCCTGTCTCTACTAAAAATACAAAATTAGCCAGGCATGGTGGTGCATGCCTGTAAAGTTACTTGGGAGGCTGAGGAGGAGAATCGCTTGAACCCGGGAAGCGAAGGTTGCAGTGAGTTTAGATCACGCCACTGCGCTCCAGCCTGGGCAACAAGAGCGAAACTCTGTCTCAAAAAAAAAAAAAAGAATACAGCGTGATAGAAGCAGGCACCTGGAACAAGACAGTGTATTAACTTTCAGGATGAACTATGTTTGCGAATATAAGCAGCATTCGTAAGAGTATGATGTAAATGTGTGGTTCTTAACCTAGTTTGGGTCATAGTCCATCTAACATTTTTATCATGAATTTGATAAACATGCAGATTGTGGACCAACTTCAAGAGATTCTGATCCAATAGGCCTGAGGTAGGTTTTAGGAATCTATATGTGTAATCACCACCTCAGATGATTTTCATGTAGGTTGTTGTCAGATCATACGTTGAGAAACTGTTTCAGTGTTATAATTTCAGGGAGTTTGCATATTCCACACAATCACTATATGCATCTCAGGTTCTTAACCTGAGCAATATCCTCAACAGATTTGTATAATTGAAAAATAATCATGAGTCCAGGCCTAGTGGCTCATGCCTGTAATTCTAGTGCTTTGGAAGGCTGAGGAGGGCGGATCACATGAATCCAGGAGTTCGAGACCAGCCTGGCCAACATGGCGAAACCTCGTCTCTACTAAAAACACAAAAATTAGCCAGGTGTGATGGTGCATGTCTAATCCCAGCTGCTCGGAGGCTGAGGCATCAAAATCACCTGACCTTGGGAGGCAGAGGCTATAGTGAGCCAAGATTATGCCACTGCACTCCAGCCTGGGCAACAGAACGAGACTCTGTCTCAAAAAAAAAGAAAAAAAAAAGGACAGTCATGAGTTTCATAGGGTGTTTGGCGCTGGTGTACTAGAAAATTAGGTTTTACATTTAAGTCTTTAATCCATCTCGAGTTAATTTTTGCATATGGTGTAAGAAAGGTGTCTGGTTTTACTTTTCTGCATATGGCTAGCCAGTTATCCCAGCACCATTTATTGAATAGGGATTCCTTTCTCTGTTGCTTGTTTCAGGTTTGTTGAAGATCAGTTAGTTGTAGGTGTGTGGTCTTATTTCTGGGCTCTATTCTGTTCCATTGGTCTGTGTATATGTTCTTGTATCAGTACCATGCTGTTTTTTGGTTACTGCAGTGCTGTAGTATAAAGACACATGTACACATATGTTCATCACAGTACTATTCATTCTAACAAAGACGTGAAATCACCCCCAATGCCCATCAGTGATAGACTGGATAAAGAAAATGTGGTACATACACACCATGGAATAGTATACAGCCATTAAAAAAAACGAGATCATGTCCTTTGCAGGGACATGGGTGGAGCTGGAGGCCATTTTCTTTACCAAACTAATGCAGGAACAGAAGACCAAATACTGCATGTTCTTGCTTATAAGTGGGAGCTAAATGATGAGAACACATGGATACATAGAGGAAACAACACATACTAGGGCCTACCAGAGGGTGAAGGGTGGGAGGAGGGAGAGGATCAGGAAAAATAATCAGTTAATCCTAGGTAATGAAATAATCTGTACAACAAATACCCATGACACAAGTTTACCTTTGTAACAAACCTGCAAATCCTACACATGTACCCCTAAACTTAAAAGTTAAAAAGAAAAAAGAAAATTAATGACTTTTGTTGAAATTTATTGGCCAAAATAAACCAGATGGTCCTAGTTCAGTGGCTCACTCCTATAACCTCAGCATTTTGGGAGACCGAGGTGAGTGCGCACATGTAGTCCCAGCTACTTGGGAGGCTGAGACAGGAGAATTGCTTGAGCCGAGGGGGTCAAGGCTACAGTTAGCTGTGATCACTCCACTGTACTGCAGCCTGGGTGACAGAGCAAGACCCTGTCTCAAAAACAAACAAAAAACAAATCACATGGTCACACTTAACTTGAAAAGGAGTACTAAACTAATGACTAACACATATGGGGTCTCTCTCTCCCTTTGTTTTTGGTAATGTAATTGATTATTTTTTTCCTAATATTGCCCTAGTTTTACATTCCAGAGATAAACTGTATGATTATGAGGTCTGATTGTTTTGATATGCCACTTGTTTGATTTGATAATATTTATTTAGATTTTTGCATCTTTCTTCTCTGGTAAGATTGGCCTAGACTTTCCATTTCTTATGCTTTTCTCAACAGTTCAGTGTCAGGGTTTTTTGTTAGCATTATCAAAGGAGATGGGGATTTTTCTGTTTTCTTTTTCTCCTCAGTTTTCAGAGTTTATATAGATTTCCAATATACTTTTTGGGAGGAGTTTAGGACAACTACAAAAATAGACCATACAGGCTCCATATAAGACCACTCTCACTTCTGACACCAACTGTTAAGTTTGGGGGATTCCCAAAACCACTCTCAGGTTTGATAATTCATTAGAAAGGCTCATAGCGTTTAGTGAAAGCTGTTGTGCCCATAGTTACGATTTGTTATAGGGAAAGGATTTGGATAAAATCAGCCAAAGGAAGAGACTCATAGGACAGAGTTTAGGAGGGTTCCAAATACAGAGCTTATCTTGCTGTCTTCCCATGTGGTCAGGACACATTTCTCTCCCGGCATCAATGTGTGACAGTATGCATGAGTACCCCCAAATAGGGAAACTTACACAACCTTAACTGTCGAGTTTTTGTAGAGGTTATTCACATAGGTGTGATTGATTAATTGCTCACAGGGATTTCAGTCTCCATGTTGACTGACCCTATGTGACCCCAGACCCCTATCTCAAGTTACATTGTTCGTCTTTCCGATTGGTCAGCCTCCACCTAGGATTATATAGGTGTGGACAGTCCCCTCCCTGAATTGCATTATTAGCCTATCCAGTATGACCCAAGGCCTCCCAGACAAAGACACACTTTTTAGACGTAACTTTCTAAGTGTCCAGAGATTATCTACTAGAAGCCAAGAGGAAAGACCAGACTGTCTCTTTGGACAAGGCCAAATTCTTCACTAGACACATTTGTACAATTAATTTTTCTCTTTTATGATTGTCTTCCTGTGATTCCTCAATAACAGATTAAGCCTGTAGGGATTCCATTATGGAAAACTGGTTCATTTAAATTTGAGCCCTTCATTTCTCTAGCTGTCTCATAAAAATTACAGGATACTTTTTATTTAACTGCATTTAAATTAAACTCCCTTTTATCTTTTTTTTCCCCCCCAAGAATAAAGGTTCTCTTCAGTTTGAAGACAAATGGGATTTTATGCGCCCGATTGTTTTGAAGCTTTTACGCCAGGAATCTGTTACAAAACAGCAGTGGTTTGATCTGTTTTCGTAAGTACCCAGTTTACTAACATAAAGTAAATTTTGGTGATGTCTTTCCATACCCAAATGGAATGTGTAACTCTAGGTTGTTCTGTTTACCTATTAAATAGTATTACTAGTTATGCTGAGGGTCTCCAAAACCTCTCCCAGGTATGATGATTTGCTAGGGGTCTTACAGGACCAAACATACAATCATACTCACAACTATGAGTCATTACAGTGAAAGGATCCAAAGCAAAATCAGCAAAGGGAAAAGGTACATGGGGTGAAGTGCAGGAAAAAACAAGCACAAGCTTCCAAGAAGAGTCTTTTTCCAGGGGAGTCACACAGGACACACTTAATTTTTCCAGCAATGATGGACAGCGTGTGATATGTTGTCTACCAGAGAAGCTTATTGGAGACTTGGTACTCAGGGTTTTTATAGGGGTGGTCACATAGGCAGTCTCTTTCAATATGTACCAAAATCAGTGTAAACCATATTGTTTATATAAACAGTTTAAGTACAGTAAGCCACTGTTATTTCAGGAAAGTTTTATTTAAGTGTAGGAAACTGTTGATCATTCAAATTCTCAGATGCCAGCCAAGGCTAATCTTACAAGCAGGCATTTCTAGGGGATGCAGTCTCGGGTGCTGGTTTAACTTTTTGCCATTGGCCAAATTGTCTTTACAGCAGAATTATGTCAGCATTCCCCCATGTAGCAGGGCAAGACCAACCTGTAATATTGGTCTCAGTTGCCTCTAACCCTTTTTTTTTTTTTTGAGATGGAGTCTTGCTCTGTTGCCCAGGCTGGATTGCAGGGGCGCCATCTTGGCTCACTGCAACTTCTGCCTCCCAGGTTCAAGTGATTCTCGTGCCTCGGCCTCCTGAGTAGCTGGGATTACAAGTGTGCACCACCATGCCCGGCCAATTTTTGTATTTTTAGTAGAGTCAAGGTTTCTCCATGTTGTCCAGGCTAATCTTAAACTCCTGACCTCAGGTGATCTGCCCGCCTTGGCCTCCCAAAGTGCTGGGATTACAGGCATGAGCTACCACGCCTGGCGAGTTATCCCTTTTTAGGGGTCCTGGATTTAGCCAGTTAAACTCCATTAATCATAAAGTTTATCTTAAAAAACCATGTGGCTTTCTCTTTCAGTTATGTATAGGCCTTTTTTTAACATGGTCAACTCAGGCACAATTGTCAACTCAGGCACAGTATAACTCAGGGCAGTAAGTTGAAGCGGACCTGAAAGCCTTCCAGGATTGAGACAGTGCCATGCTAGGGTACATACACTAACAAACATAATCCCAGAGGGCACATGTAGTTCTCCTAGAAACAAAAAGATTAAAATTGTTAAGATACCCCAAGCAAGATATTAGTCAGGTAGTACAGGTTAACAAGGCCCCCCCATGGCCTCCCACCGTGGGACCTTATATTCTGGGGTTCCCAATTCAGTGTAGTTGATTTATAATTCAGTTCAGGCCTTGGTTTCAGATGGACTGCCTGAAGGCAGTTAGTTCCAAACAGGAGGTGTTCTACATGGAAAGTGCAGAAGCTTGAGGCTGTTCCTTGCCATCTCATAGTTGGTGCTGTTAGGTGTGATTGTAAGTTCACCAGTTTGAATTAAAAGGACTCGTGGCAGCTTGGAAAGGCAACCCTGAGAGATTTCCTTTAGGAAAAGGGAGAAAGCTTTCAGGAATAGTTGTGAGAAGCAAAAATCATTAATCTCCTCCTCCTCCACTGTCCCTTCCCAGATGCTAGGTTTTGTTTTTTCTTCCTTATAAAATCAGTGTATCCCTTTCAGTAATGAAAATTTCGTGTCTTCTCCATCATCCAGATCTGCATGAGGGACAAAAGTTTTTTTACTAAAAACATTTGTATACAACTTAATTAAAAAGACATATGATATTTAGGAAATGGTCAGGATGAAATCCTGAATTTTTAAAACTTTTCAAAATGGGCTTATGTTATCTCCCTTTTGTCCTGATCATGTATCTAATGGGCAGCCTAGAAAATATCAGTTCCTTTCTGGGGACGGCTGCATTTAGTAACCAGACTGACTTACTAAGGTGTGTGTGTACCAGGAGGGGTGACAGGAAAGAGAGAAATAGAGTCAGGTTATTAAATCTATTGCTGCAAATTGCAACCAATCCGGAAAGGCAAACAGAAGTCAGTAGCAGAGAGACATCTCAAGAAGGGGTCAAAATCTAATCTGTAAGAAGTGGGCGAAGGGGCTATGCTCTTGTGATGTGCCCTCTCCCAACTACAGCTTTTGGTAGGAACCACCAGTTGGGAATACTGTTAGTCTCCATATCAGATATATAAGACCAGTCAGCAGCTTCATCTTGGATAGTCCCATCAGAGAATAAGCCTTTTTCTTTGGGTGTCTGTGAGTGGTTGAGGTGGTCCAGCCAGAATCCATGATGTTTTCATGGTTTCTGGCTCCACAAGAGCCTATCTTTTAAGTCTTCAGTAATCTTTGACGGCCAAAGTGGCTTACACCTATAATCCCAGAACTTTGGGAGGCCGAGACAGGATGATCGCTTGAGCCCAGGAGTTCAAGACCAGCCTGGGCAACATAGTGAGACCCTGTCTCTTAAAAAAAAAAAAAAATTATCTGGGTGTGGTGGCACACGCCTGTAGTCCCATCTAATTGAGAGCTGAGGTGGGAGGATTGCTTGCGTCTTCAGGCAGATTGCTTGCTGCATTGAGGCTGCAGCAAGCTGTGACTGTGCCACTGTACTCCAGGCTGGGTGACAGAGTGAGACCTTGTCTCAAAAAAAAAAAAAAAAAAAAAAAATTGAGGCAAAGTCCTGTTTATTGAGTATATGCCTGCTTTTGGTTCAGCACAGCTCGTGTTGAGGTTGAAATAGCCTGGTAGCAGTGTCAGGATTCAGCCTAGCGTCAGATCCAGGTAGTTGAGATCTGTGATTTCAGGATTCCAAAACAGTTAGTGTCTTGTCTTTGGCAGGAGCAAAGCCAAGATACTGCAGGCTCGCAGTCATACTTCAAGTCCAAGTGATCAGCAAGACTATCCTAAGTCCTTTTTACCTTGTCTTAGGATCCAACTTGATCTGCCGAAAAATATGCACATATGGCTGGAAAATCATCAGCTTCTAAGGGTCAGACATCTAATTTTACAAGAATTCAATAAGAATGAAAAACTGCATTTAAAATTCCAAAAGTGTATTTCCTTCATCTGGAGATTTCCTTTGTTTTCATGTTGTCTCTCTTTTTCCCGGGGCATCAGTGTTTAAAAAGTCATAGTAAATATCATCCGTTGTGGAAACTTATTCTGTTCCCAATACTCACAGAGTTTAAATTCCAGTCCCTTCAGCAGAAAAAAGCAAGAAGTTTTGTCTCACTAATTTTTCCTGATTGGGACAATCCCTTTAGTATTTGTGAAATGACTAGCAGCATATTACATCTTACGTCAGTTTTGATTATACATCTAGATGCAGTAGCTGCAAAGTACAAAGTCATCTCTTAACCCCCCCACCACATTTTTCCCTTATTTTAAATTTATTTATTTATTTATTGAGACGGAGTCTTGCTCTGTTTCCCAGGCTGGATTGCAGTGGCACAATCTCAGCTCACTGCAACCTCCAACTCCCAGGTTCAAGTGATACTCCTGCCTTGCCTCTTGAGTAGCTGGGGCTACAGGTACCCACCACTGCACCAGGCTAATTTTTGTCTTTTAGTAGAGACAGGGTTTCACCATGTTGGCCAGGATAGTCTCGAACTCTTGACCTCAAAGTTACCTGACTACCTCGGCCTCCCAAAGTGTTGGGATTACAGGCGTGAGCCACCATGCCTGGCCATCCTTATTCCTTATTTTAAATTTAATCAACCATCAGCAGTAAATTCAGTGTTTATAAGAGTAACATTACAGCTGCTGGGAGATCCTGACTGGCATGCAAGGTGTAGGGAGGGACTGCAGCAGCAGCAGCTAGGCTGAAGAGACAGCTGGAGTGGTTCAGTCTCCCCACTCCTGTTTCTCCCATAGTTTATCTAAAGCTTTGCTCCAGCACTGGGCTCTGATTTTGCTATTATTTTTTTCCTATTTGGAGGAGAGAGCATACAAACTTTTAACATTTTTGGTCCACCCAGACTCACCTTTGGAAACTTCTGGGCCTCTTCCCACCTGGAGGCAAGAAAAAAAAAAAAATCCAACAGAGACATCATCCAGGCTCTGTTTTTTCCTCCCTTCACTTTATTCAGCATGGCCAGAAACTGCCAGGGGAATGAGGTAGCCAATTCTCCTGGTGTTAGAGCTATCATTTTCAAATTTCGTAGGTAATTTTTACCTGTCACAAAAGACAGAAACTCAACTGCTGTTTCATACTATGAATGATTTTATAGCCACCAAAGCAGCAAATGTTTGTCATCCTACTGCTTCTTCTCTCTTCACGAGTCCAACTTCTGACACCAGCTGTGTTGGCAATCCCAAGGTCACCCCTAGGCTCAGTGATTGCTGGGAGTATTCATAGGACTCACTATGTAGTTGTATTCATGGCTATGATTTATTACAGTGAAGGAAGCAAAGCAAAATCAACAAGGAAAAAGTGCATGTGCCAAAGTCCAGGGGAAATGAAATACAAACTTCCAAATGTCTTCTCTCAGAGGAGTCACACAATAAGCTTAATTCCTCCAGCAATTGACAGTGACAACACATATAAAATATTGGCTACCAGGGAAGCTAATTAGAGATTCAGCACCCAAACTTTCTACTGGAGGCTGGTCATGTAAGCAACTTATGCCTGGCACATACCAAAATTCGAGACTGGCAGAAGAAAGGAAAGTGTTCAACGTAAGTCACACTGTGTAAATGGTTTAGGCATGTAAAACGTTCTCATTAAGGAATGATGGGAATCCTCCCAGAAATCCAGATTGCCACATCCTAGCCAAAGGCCAGCCTTGCACACAGGTGTTTCTTAGGCTAGCAGTCTCAGACACACTATTAAAATGCCATATCAATGAATTATAGATGTGTAATTGTGTAAGCTGTACACATTGAGCTATTGTAATCAT